TCGTACCATCCAAAACTTGGAAGGATTTGAAAATACGCGGTCAACAAGCCGAACATTTTCTTAAAAGAAAGAAAGTTGAGAGAGGTCAACCGACGACATCCGCAATTCCTTTGAACACGACTCTCGATCCGAGGTTCCAAAAGGAGTATTCTTTCGAAGATGATGAAGCTTCAGCCATCTTGAAATACCTCCTCGCCAACGACAAGATCGTCCTACCACCTATTAAAGATCAGGAGGGAGCTAAAAGGATTACGGATCCAAACTACTGTGCATACCACAGAAGGGTTCTTCATCACACTAAGGTTTGTTTTGGACTCAAAAACAAAATCCAAGCTTTAATTGACTCCGGCGTCATAACGGCGAAACAAGCCAAGTAAAGACGACTCAACTTCATTGGGTGCACGAGTATAATCTGTTTCCCCCCACTCCAAAGAGTATAAGAGTATAAACTGCTTTTTCCTTCACTCCAAAGAGTATAAGAGTATAAACTGCTTCTCCCTTTCCTCCAACCGGTATACGAGGTTAAACTGCTCCCTGAAACTCCAATCGGTATATGAGTCTAAACTGTTTCCTTTCTTTCACGGGAAGTTCCTGGAGAATTTTTACACGTAATATTCTTAAGGATAACTCGGTCATGTAGCTGAATATAATGATAAACCCAGTTTCGTAAGAAAAGCTGGGGGTGGATGGTTCATGTAACGGGAAGTTCTCAAAAGAATGCTATATGTAATTTTCTTAGGGATAACCCGATCATTACAAACAAAGTGATAAACACTACATCCCCACGGTGATTTTCGAATACTCTTTTGCAGTTAGGGTCGTTTCAAAACTCTCATTTGGTTAAACCTTGAACAGTTATGACCAAAGCCAAAATCCCCTCTCGATTCTCCATGAACGAGAGGTCCACTCAAATTGGACGATCAAACCTTTAAACAGTTAGGATCGTCTCAAACCTTCATTTGGTCAAACCTTTAAACAGTTAGGACCAAAACCAAAATCCCCTCTCGATTCTTTCCATGAACGAGAAGTCCACTCAAATTGGACGATCAAACCTTTAAACAGTTAGGATCGTCTCAAACCTTTATTTGGTCAGACCTTTAAACAGTTAGGACCAAAATCAAAATCCCCTCTCGATTCTTTCCATGAACGAGATGTCCACTCAAATTGGACGATCAAACATTTAAACAGTTAAGATCGTCTCAAGCCTTTATTTGGTCAGACCTTTAAACAGTTAGGACCAAAACCAAAATCCCCTCTCGATTCCTTCCATGAACGAGAGGTCCACAAATTGAACGATCAAACCTTTAAACAGTTAGGATCGTCTCAAGTCCTCATTTGGTCAAACCTTTAAACAGTTAGGACCAAAGCCAAAATCCTCTCTCGATTCCTTCCATGAACAAGAGGTCCACAAATTGAACAATCAAACCTTTAAACAGTTAGGATTGTCTCAAGTCCTCATTTGGTCAAACCTTTAAACAGTTAGGACCAAAGCCAAAATCCCCTCTCGATTCCTTCCATGAACGAGAGGTCCACAAATTGAACGATCAAACATTTAAACAGTTAGGATCGTCTCAAGTCCTCATTTGGTCAAACCTTTAAACAGTTAGGACCAAAGCCAAAATCCTCTCTCGATTCCCTCCATGAACGAGAGGTCCACAAATTGAGTGATCACACCTTTAGACAGTTAGGATTGTCTCAAATTCCCATCTGGTCAAACCTTTAAACAGTTAGGACCAAAGTCAAAATCCCCTCTCGATTCCTTCCATGAACGAGAGGTCCACAAATTGAGTGATCAAACCTTTAAACAGTTAGGATCGTCTCAAACCCCCACTTGGTCAAATCTTACTACAGTTAGGACCACAACCAAAATCTCTTCTCGATTCATTCCACGAACGAGAGGTCCACTTTCAGTTAAATAATCAAACCTTGTGACAATTAGGATTATTCAAACCCGTCCAGATTCTCTAAGTAGAGATCCCACTTTGAGTTTCCTTTGCACCTGGAGATAGAATATAAAATTCTTCCTCTCCGATTTTCAGGTTCATCTCTACCAACAAACAAGAGACCAAGAGATAGAATATAAAATTCTTCCTCTCCGATTTTCGGGTTCATTTCTACCAACAAACAAGAGACCAGAAAATAGAATATAAAATTCTTCCTCTTCGATTTCGGGTTCATCTCTACCAACAAACAAGAGACCAGGAGATAGAATATAAAATTCTTCCTCTCCATCATTGAGTTCACCTCTACCAACAAAAAAGAGACCAAAATACTCTAATAGGTACATGAGTCTAAACTGTTTTCCTACACTCGACAGGCAGTTTCTGGAGAATATTATTCTGAATATTCTTAAGGATAACCTGACGAACTCTCGAGGGACATACAAATATCAATTTGGTGATAAAAGTCAAAGAGATACCAACTTCGATTCAAGATCTCGATAACGGTCGAGCGATAAATGCAGTACCGGAAGAGTATTAGCTATTCTATAAAGAACTGAATAGGCTAAAGGATGAAGAGATCAAGATCCGAAGCCATTTTATGGATTCCTTTACACGATCTACTCAACCAAGTATTGAAGAGATCGTAAGTAAAATCTATCTTATCCAAAGTATCCCAGACTCCTCTATAAAAGAATGAGTCTGGAATACTTTGGAGGGGGTATCTGTAGGCGTCAAAAAATGCTAAAAGATATCCAAATACAGCTCAAGAGGAGATCACTGTCTCGACACGCGAGACAGTGTTTACTGTCTCGCAGTGGGAGACAGTGTTTACTGTCTCGCCGGCGAGACAGTGTTTACTGTCTCGTAGGCGAGATAGTGTTTACTGTCTCGCACGCGAGACATCTTTCAAAAGTTCAAAAATGTTTTATAAACCGCCGACACGTGGCCATTAACTGCCAAAGAATATAGGAAACGTCGTGGGCGAGAATCACGTTGACAACTGCCAAAATAACGGAGTTTTAAAACGTGAGAAGGTCGTTACAGTGAAAACTGCTGGGCAGTTGGGTTTTCCGAGACAGTGTTTACTGTCTCGGAACCCGAGGAGACAGCAAACACTGTCTCGGCAGTCGAGACAGCAAATGCTGTCTCGCGAGCTCATTTTCCTCTAACTATTCCTAGGGGTTATAAATACCCCCTGAGGTCGATTTTTGATGGGGCGAATCATTTTTTAGCACTTTGGAGCAGAGAGAGCAGAGTTCCTGAGCTTTTGGCAATTCCTTGAGATTCGAGCTTTGACTTGATCTTAAGAAGAGTGATCGTTTTACTTTGATAAGATCTTCACTTCAAATTCCTACTTCGATAAACGAAGGAAGAATCACTTAACCTTGTAGGCATATAAAATTGCTTATAGGTCCCTTAGCACAGCTCGGCACAAACCGACGAACCAACGAGGCGGCGAGGTTGACGAATCGCACGTAAGCAACGGAATACATCCATTCGCGTGTAGAATCAAGCCAAGGGTTCGAAGAGTTAACGAGTCATCCAACCAAGGGCAGACTCGGACGAATCATGATTGAATCAAGATCAGTTTCGGACTCGAACTCAGAAGTGGATTTACTGCCAAATCAAGAATCGGATCTACTGCCAAATCAGATCAACAAATCAGAGTCTAAGTCAACCGAATCACGGATTGAACCGAAAACACAAAACGACGAAACCCAACGCCTAAGGGGGGCTCGGCCAAAGCCGAGCCACCCATGGGTGGCTCGGCCCAGTGCCGGCCACCCATAGGTGGCCGACCCAGATCTGTGCGCGGGCACAGTTCAGAGAGCCTATAAATAGGCCCCCCTTGGTTCATTTGAAAAGGTTGGAACTTTAAGAGCCGAAACTCTGCCGAATTGAAGATCGAGTTTGGAGTTTTGAAGACTTGAGGACTTGAACATTCAGATCTGGTTCCCGGCGAGCATCCACATCACAAAAGGCAGGAGTTCGAGAGGAAAATAGATCAGATCTGAGATCTACACGAGATCATACTCCGGATCAAAGCTTGGCCTTTGATCCCGAGAACTAAGGGCGATTATTTCCTTGGTGAATTAATCCCCCCCGGCTATTATTTCCTTTGCAAAATAATACCCGTCGAATCGTGTAGATCCGACCGGATCTAGATCGCGCGGTGGTCCACAGATTAACCCCAACGTTGGCAAAGAACCCACACAAGCGAGCGACCGCAAAACAGGAGCTCGCGATTTGTTCGAAAAACAAGGAGAAAGTTATAATCTTTTCTTTTATTTTCTTTGATTTTCGTTGTAACCGGATCTAAAAAAGACCGGATCTTTGTAACTCGAAAAGCTGTTATTTGAGATGACAATGAAATCAATAATGAAGAAAGACACGATTTTCACCGCGAACAAACCCTTCACGATTCAATCAGAATCTGTGATTTGGTGGTCCACGAGTCAAAGCGCTCCCGGCACAGGCAAAGATCCCACGCAAGCAACGATCCAAACAACGATCCTGCGTTTGTTTCTAAAAAGTTGTAATTTTCATTTTGTTGTGTAAAAGAAGTCTTATAAAAAGGCTATTTCTTTTGAATTTATTGTAATCGACTAAAGATATAATGAATTCCACAACGAGACCAACTTTTGACGCAAACAGTGCCGTATACAATAATCTACCTAGATGTACAGTTATAATGAGCCGAACATAATTTATCTTACTATTTTAGAAAAAGATGATGCTAGCAATTTTAAGCTAAAAACTAATAGAGTCAGAGATTCCGGGCTAGTTCAGGACAATAATAGAATGTATATAAACTCTTGCTGAAGTTTGTCTGTAACCGGAAGTTTCATAATTCAAATATACATGTTTCAGAATGAAACCGCTTGTGTCTTTGTCCCTTGCCGGCCTGTTATATTCATGTTTGTCTTATTTCTCCCTCATTTCATTATTTGAGAGAAAGTAGACGGCAAGCTATGCTAGAGTTAGCTACACTCTCATACTCTGCGTCTATATATATAAGCTCAATTTTTGTCGAAAAATAAGTAGATTACAGTTTTACGCTAATGTGCAATGGAGAAGAAAGAGGAGAAAGAGATTGTGGTTGCAGGAGAGCACCATGTTCAAGTTGATGAAGATGGTGAAAATGGCAAAAATGTTGTTAAAAAAGAGGGGGAGTATGAGATTGTTGAGCAGAAAGAGGAGAAAACAGTGGAGTCTAAGAAAAGCAAGAGAGTTGCAGCTTTGGATGCCTTCAGAGGACTCACTATAGTGGTAAGTTAGCTAATGGAGGTTCTATGCAAAAAAAAGTTGGTTTTCAAAACTATGCATTTTTTTTACTTGCACTTTAGATTTCAAGTTTTAGAAAATGATTCTGGAATGATGCAGATAATGATATTGGTGGATGATGCTGGAGGTGCATATGAACGTATAGATCACTCTCCATGGAACGGCTGCACTCTCGCAGATTTCGTTATGCCTTTCTTTCTCTTCATCGTCGGTGTTGCAATTGCTTTTGCTCTCAAGGTGCGTCTATTAAAAAAAAAGTGTAGGGTAGAAATCACGTCCAATCTAGAGTTCATGGACTTTAAATAGAGGCCAGGAACTCGATTTTTAACTCAAAAGCTATAGCTATCTCGATTTTAACTAAAAAACTATAGCTATTAGGGATTGACCTCAACTCTTATTTTAAATCCACCACCGGTTTTATTCTATCCAATGTAGGACTATATCCACACGTCAATAGCCTCAGCAAAAAGAACATCATAACACCTTAGTGATTTGGTTTGACATTAATTCCATTTGTGATGATATAGATTATTAAGGATTAATCAAATTTGAATTAGTAGAATATTATTTAGTTTGCAATGAGCATGACCAGTTCTGGCTGTACTAGTCATGGAATCTGAATCTTGGGGGAAAAAATATAATTAGAGCTTGACAACATCTTTTCAACTACTTTGCTGATGATGGTGATAGCGATGCCAACTCAAGTAGCCAGACTTTTTTTTCATCCAGAATTACAACTGTTTTGCAAGAAATTGGAAAATAGGGTAAGCTTCACAAAACCCCTCTTAAGATCGGCCGACTTTGAGATAAACCCCTGAACTTTAACCTCCCTGCTTAAATTTGTGGTGTTTCAGAAAAAAAAACCCCAGATGTTTTCAGTTTTTCTAATTAACCTTTCTAGCAGAGTTTCATGAAAAGGCAAAAGACCAAATAACCTTTTCAAATCAACACTCTAATCTATAAAGCGATCACTCTAATTAAGTACTTATAAGAATTATCTCAAAAGCTGGCAAAGTTCAAGGGGTTATGTGAAATGTGCCCAAAATAATTAAAAAGGACATGAAAGAGTTGGCCATCAGGGACATTTTAGTCATTTGCATGCATGTGATTTTACGAAGTGTTCAAATTCATAATTTACATTGCTTTGGATTTTCACTGAATTTACCCCATTATAGCTTATGGATTCAGGTCAATGTATGCTCCTATTAGAATTCACAGTGAGAAACAAAATCAACTAACAATCCTCTTAATGCATCACAGAGAGTTCCAAATCTCCCAAGTGCAATCAGAAAGATAGTCATCAGAACTCTGAAGCTTCTCTTCTGGGGAATTCTTCTTCAAGGTGAGCTTGGCTTCCAAAATATAATAACCTTTTTTTAATTTTAAATTTCACCTCATAACTAACAATGTCAGCATATGTTATTCACTGAATCAAGGTGGATACTCTCATGCTCCTGATGACCTCTCCTATGGAGTTGACATGAAACAAATCAGATGGTGTGGTATTCTGCAGGTATTCATATGTCGATTATTCTACTCTATTCTCTTCAAATTCAATTCTTTGAATTCAAATACTTGAACCTGTTCTTTTTTGGTGTGTAGAGAATAGCACTAGTCTATTTTGTGGTGGCTATGATTGAGGCTCTAACCCTTAAGCTTCGACCAACTGTTCTAAGCTCAGGAAATTTCAAAATTTTCAGTGCATACCATTGGCAGTGGTAACTTCATTTCATCGTCAAGTTCATATTGATATGTAACTTAAATTTTCAAATTTGTAATGTTCTAACGTAATTACGCAATTATTTTTATTAATAGGCTTGGAGGCTTCATTGCATTTGCCATATACATGGTCACTACATTCACACTATACGTTCCAGATTGGAGCTTTGTGTTCCACAGTGACGGCGATCCTAATGATGGCAAGAAATTTACAGTAAGCATACAGAAATTTTCAGTATATTTATGATATTTCTTTGCAAATATAGTCAAATTTCTGATTAAAGTAATGACAATCAATTTCAGGTTAAATGTGGTGTTAGAGGACACTTAGGTGAAGCTTGCAATGCAGCTGGTTATATCGATAGGGAGGTTTGGGGCATTAATCATCTTTACTCACAGCCAGTTTGGATTCGATCGAAGGTAAATTTAGTACAGTATGTGCTCAAATTTCACAGTTTAGATTTTGAGTTAATTGTAGATAGACCCCTTGTGGTATAGCTGCTCCAAACAAGCGTCTCTTTCTCTGAAGATAAAAGAGTCAATAAATTTCACTCAGGGGGTCTATATGAAACAATAAAACTGGAGAGGTTGTTGGTTTTAACAGTGATACTACAAGGGGTCTTTCCGCAAGTAATCCATCATTTTGGTTCCAATCTTTGCTTTCTTATTATTATCAGGCATGCACAAGTAGTTCACCAAATTCAGGACCATTACAAAAGGATGCTCCTGCTTGGTGCCTTGCTCCCTTTGACCCTGAAGGCTTGTTGAGGTATGCCTAATTTTCCCGAATGATTTTCCTACTTTTAAAAATTTATTAATCAGTCTTGTAATTATAACATGATGTAAACTTGAATTGTGTATTATTTTGGATTTAGCTCAATATCGGCTATCCTCTCTGGAACTATTGGAGTCCACTATGGACATGTCCTAATCCACTTTAAGGTAAATTTTCGATATTGTTTTAAAAAATATGAAGAATGATAAGATTATTCTTATATGTTTCATGATGTATTTTTTGTGTAGGACCATAGAGAAAGACTAAAGCATTGGACGATAATGGGGGTCGGTTTGCTAGTAATTGGCATCATCCTTCATTTCACAACTGGTATATATGCTTCTTTTCTTGCACATTATGTACTAATTATGCCATCTACTATTATCTAACCATATTGAGAATTTTTAAATTCTAATAGATTTTTATTTTACGAAAAATTTCCTTTGTAGTCATTCCTATCAACAAGCAACTCTATAGCTTCAGCTATGTTTGTTTCACGGCGGGTGCTGCAGGAATTGTTTTATCAGCCTTCTATATATTGGTATAATATTAACTCCCTTAATTATCAACTTTGTTCTTACATAAAAAAAAATCATGTAACCATTAATTTTTTTTTTCCATTCTCTATGATTTTCAGATTGATGTATGGGGTATAAGATTGCCATTCCTATTCCTAGAATGGATTGGCATGAATGCTATGCTTGTCTTTGTAATGGCAGCACAAGGAATTTTTCCTGCTTTTGTGAATGGGTGGTATTATGAAAAGAAAAAGAATTCTCTTGTGAGTGTGATCTAAATATTGCACAGTATAAACATTTTTAGTTCATTATTGATACTAACAATTTATAATTTCTAATATGTAGGTTCATTGGATTCAGAGGCATGCATTTATTGATGTATGGCACTCACAAAGACTAGGGACTCTTTTGTATGTAATATTTGGTGAGATTGTCTTCTGGGGTGTTGTAGCAGGCATTTTTCACAAGCTTGGGATCTACTGGAAACTTTGAACATTTTTAAAAAATGTATACTTGGAATGATTTTCTCTCCAAAGAAAGCATGTATTACATAACAGAATTCCAAAATGGTTTAAATGGGTTGGTGTATGTCTAGATGTCCATTGCTTCCTTGACTGTGATCATATCACTTTCCCTATTCTTCTATCACTTCATGCTTCCTAAAATTACCTCTATTGGTTCTTGTTCATCATCATCACCATCACCATCATCATCATCTTCTTCTTCTTCTTTGATAACCCAACCCGAAATCAAATCCAAAACCGTGGGAGCCATATAGGAACCTCCCAATCGTCTAGGTCACCCGCGGGCTTCTTGTTTGTCTTCTTATTAATATTTTCTTATGGATGTTAGTTCTATCATTGCTCTATGTTAATCATCCATCTCAACAATCTTATTACTCCTACATCCATTTCTTGGATTTTAATTGGATATTAACACATAAAACATTGTTTGTTTATAGTCACCTTGAAGAATTTTTTTTCCCTTCAAATTTGTGGGTATGAAAAATTACATAGCACTCAAGAAGAATTTCAATTCTTTAATCATATTTGAATCTCTATTCTCTAAGTAATACTATCCTAAATAGCGTTTGAAAATTGAAATGTCTATAGTCAAAAAAGAGTAAATTACATTAAACCACGTAAACTTTTTTAGTGTTTTAGGGCAAACCCCTATGAACTTTCAAAACCGCGCTAGCTTTTGTGGCAAACCCCTATGAACATTTGCGTAAATTACACTGAACCCTAATAACTTTCAAAATGCCTTTTTATGTTGTTTTATGGTTCTAATTTATGGGGTTTATATGGAAAATACAGAAACTTATTGTGGTTTTCTACTAAACAGAAAAATTATCGGGGGTCTCGTGTGATTCTGAAATTTCTTAGGGACTACTACAAAACACCAAAAGTTCATGGGGGTTTAGTATAATTTACCAGCAAAAAAGAATCAAAATTTTCAAACTTAAAACATGCTTATGCGTTTGAAAGAGTAAATAAATAAATTTGCAAGAACTCAGAATCTAACCACACTGCAGAATAAAAAATTGGCCCAAAAGCAGCAACTTCACTCTTGAATCGAACGCACAATTTCATTCACAAAATACCATTTGCAAGATTTTAAGCTTCTTTGCATATAACAATTTTTTCCTTACTCCTGATCTTGAAAGATGCAAGATCGTCGGGACTTCGACGGAGGTGGCGGTTGATCGATAAGGTCTCGGGGTGTTGGGCTGGGTTTAGGGGGAGATTTTGCCGTAAAAACATTTCTCTAAAAGGCCAAATTTGTCCCGTATCGGGGCTTCATGCTCAAATTAGTCCCAATATTTATTTTACGGACAGATTTTCAAAACCGATCTGTTTTGAATTTTATTCTAAAAAAAACCATGTTTTAAACTTAATTTTAAAAACCGATTCAGTTGGGCTGAAACTGGGTCGGTTTTTGAATAAAAAGTTTCCAAACTTCACGGGAGTTGAAGTCTCGTGAAGTTTTTTATATAACAAAACTTCACGGATCTTCAACTCCCGTGAAGTTTGGGAATTTTTTTTTCTTCAAAAACTGACCCGGTTTCAGCCCAACTAGGTCGGTTTTTGAAATTAAGTTCGAAACGGGTTTTTTTTGGATTTTTTTGACAAATAGGCTAGTTTTGAAAATTTGTCCTTTATTTTACCCTAAGTAAGATGTAAATTTAGTTCTTTTTAAGTCTTTGTGAAAAGTTCCGTTAAATATAACCTTAAAAGGACAACATTATCCTAACAGATTAAAGTAAAATAACATAAAAAGTTCCGTTAAATATAACTTGAGGTAGAGATTAGTCCCATCCGAAAATGTGTGGAGGATACCTAGTGTTAGGGGTGTCCAAAAAGCCCGGGCCCGGCCCGGTGTCCGCCCGGCCCGGCCCGGGCAAAACCGGGTCCGGGCGCCGGGCCCAGGTCGCGTTGGCGAGCCACGTCCGGCCGGCCCGCGGGCCTGGAACAGTGCCCAAAAATGGCAGCTGGCTTCGAATGGCCGGCCGGGCGATATGGCCGGGCTGGGCGCGGCGGCCCGGCCCGGGCCAAATCTGGCCTAACGGCCAGATTTGGCCTTTTGACCGTTTTGCCCCTTAAAACGGTCAAAAAACGGCTATTTTTCGAGGGTTTTTTGGTCATTTACCTAGGGGGCTGCTTCTATAAATAGAGGGGGGGTTTCAATTCATTTTCTCACAACAAAACTCATCTATTTCTCTCTCTACTACTCTCTTATACAATCTTATACTATCTCATACTAATATACTATCCTATAATCTTTTGTATTTTCTAATACTTCCAACAAATGGCTTCTGGGTCTGATTATGAAGAGCAACATGCAACTCCTACCGATCCAGAGATGAGTCCTCCTACAACAACTCCTCATCCTACCGGTGTTAATCCTGAATCTGGTGGCGACGAATCTACGGCACCAAGAGCTCCAAAAAGGCCGAGGTCTGATGTATGGAATTTTTTTGAGAAGATAGACGTCACCAAGGATGAACACGGTAGGATCATCTCTCAGAATGCGAAATGTGCGTTGTGCGGCCAGATATTCAAAGCTCATCATAAGAGCGGCACCAACCATCTCAAACGGCATATTGAAAAACACAACAAAGGCCAAAATCTACAAGGTGATATCCGGCAGTCTATGCTTTCCCAATCATCCTCTTCAGGTACCCTCGGCAGTTGGAATTATGACGCTGCCCGAGCCCGGAAATGCGTAATCAGGTTTATTGTTCTTAAAAACCTTCCTTTTAAATTAGTAGAAGATGATGAATTTGAAGATTTATTTAGAGATGGTTTTTATCCTGCATTTACAAAATTTTCTCGTCAAACCTGTCAACGTGATATTTTAAAATATTATGTTGAGGAACAGGGAAAAATAATTTCTTATTTTAAAAATTTAAACTGCAAATTTTCTTTAACTTCTGATATTTGGTCATCTAGAGTGCAAACTGGTTATTTATGTATAACAGCACACTGGATTGATGAAAGTTGGAAAATGTTTAAAAGAGTTGTTTCTTTTATTGCAATTGAAGAGTCACACACTGGTATTAATGTTGCAAATTTAATTGTTGAAGAACTTATGAAACTAGAAATTGATCAAAGAATATTTACTCTTTCACTAGATAATGCAAGTAATAATAATGTAGCTGTTGATTTTCTGAAAATAACTTTGTCATTGCCATGTCATGGTGAGCTTTTTCATGTTAGATGTATCTGTCATATTTTAAATTTAATTGTTCAAAGTGCATTTTCTGAAATTAAACCCATGATAGAAAAAGTTAGAACAGTTACTAATATGCATAATGCTTCTGAAATGAGAATTAAAAGATGGAAACAATGTTGTAAAAGAAAAAATTATAAGCCTAGACTAATTCCAAAAGATGTTGACCATAGGTGGAATTCCACCTATGCAATGTTATCTGTAGCAATAGAATATAAAGAAATTATAAATGATTTTATAAATTTTTATGCTTCTAGTTCTAGCTCTGGTAGTGCTTATGGAATAACTGAAGATGAATGGACAGTTATATGTAAATTAAATGAGATGTTACAAGTTTTTTATGATGCTACTATGTTATTATCTGGTTGTTATTATCCAACTATTACTTTAGCTGCTTTACAAATTTTAAATATTCAAAAAAATTTTACAAAATATCGTATGGATGATATTTTTGGAAGTATAATTTTTGAAATGGAGAGTAAATTTAATAAGTATTTTAGGCCTATTCCTCATATTTTTGGTATTGGTGTTCTTATTGATCCATGCTTGAAGGAAATTGGCCTTCGAAGTTTGTTACAATCATTGTATGGTGGACAGATTATAGACTTAGATGATGGATCCACCCTTACTGCTACTACTCATTATTTAGCTATTAGAAATTATTTTCAAACCTTATATGATGAGTATGCAGCTAGATATGGTGTAGCTACACAACAGTCTTCAGCTTCGGCACCTTCAGCTTCGAGCACAGGTCGAGGTAAAAGTGTAAGTTTTGATAGGTATGCAATGGTAGCTGAACTAACTGGTGGATCTGGAACTTCATCAGGATTAGATGTTTCTGAAATAGATGAATATTTTTCTGCTTCTTTAGTTAGATGTCAAGGAAATGCTTTAGATATTTTGCAATGGTGGAAAGTATATGGATCAGTTTCATATCCTATACTTTCCACCATGGTTCGTGACTTACTATCAGTGCAGGTTTCGACTGTAGCCTCGGAATCCGCTTTCAGCACAGCAGGACGTTTGATCGACGACCACAGGACATGCTTAGATCCGTATACTGTACAAGCGGTGATGTGCTTACAGGATTGGTGGAGATACGAGAAGCGAACACAAGGCATCGAACGGATTGCTATGATTGAAGATAAATTTGAAGAGTTGGGACTAGCAGATAGATATAATGATTAGATAATATTCATAAAATTGTAATTTTTATTTCTTAGCTTTAAATTTGAATTAAATTATTTCGAAAAAAGTTGCAAATGATAGTGATATGGGTGAGTAGGTGCCAACCTAGTTGGGATGTACTCATCTATTGTGATGCGACGAATTTCGAAATAAATTTATACTTGTAAAGGATTTACCGATTATTAATAAAGAAGTTATTTTTATCATTTTTTGTACTTGTAATTTATGTCATTTCATTTCAAGTTATTAATTACATTTATGACATTTTTTATAATAATTTATGATTTATGGTTTTGTTAAAATAATTTATGATTTATGGTTTTGTTAAAATAATTTATGATTTATGGTTTTGTTAAAATAATTTATGATTTATGGTTTTGTTAAAATAATTTATGATTTATGGTTTTGTTAAAATAATTTATGATTTATGGTTTTGTTAAAATAATTAAAAGTACGCAGGGACCAAAATGGCCTCTTAGTCAAATTTCTTTCTAAGAATTTTTTTCTTAAACAACCCTCAAGTTTTCCACATTTTTAACCTTACCCCAGATAAACGACTTGACGAAATTACCCCTATAACTCAACGGCGTCCAGTGGAAACCTCGAAATACCCTCGGTGAGAAAAACCCTCAAGTTTTCAAATTTCTTTCCAAAATTCTTTC